AGCCCCACCGTTAGCGTTGACCGCTCGATAGCTACGGCATATGCCAATATTCGGTTGGCAGATCCAAATTTCTTCTCATCCGCTCCGATCCGCTTGGTGCTGGGGGCAGACGTCTATCCGGAGATTATTCTTCCGGGCACCCTGCCTACCTCCTTCGGCCCTCTCGTGGCACAAAATAGCATCTTCGGCTGGCTACTGTCAGGGGCTTGCCGATCCTGAATCACTGCAATAAAATATACTTACCTTTTTACATTTTCAAAATTTCTCGTCGGTTATGAATTACAAACTGCAATATATATTTTGAATTTTGAATAAATACATATACAATTGTGCACTGAAATGTCAAGCCATGTCCTGTTTTATTTAATCTCTTATCTCCCACAGCCTGAGAAATCCGAAACGAGCATCAATGGTGATGACTACGTATCCAGCTCAATCAAGATTTCATTTAACAATTTTTTAATATTTACAATTCCTTTAATTGCTCATGTGAGGGAATGGTGGCTGACTCGACTTACTGCTGTTGCTTATAGCAAGGGGGCCGGCATGTTTAGGCCTCCATGCTAAACCAAATACTTAAAAGGGTGAACCACCCTAATGTAAAATTGCATAAATGTGCAACGGATGCACATATACATAAATAGCCTGATTAATGCTAAGCCGTTAGCATGTACATATATTAGTTTACCGCTTGAATATAAAACTTCGTTAAGTTTCCCCTCCAAACAGTTTGTTGCTTGGAGGTCAAACTTAACTGCTCAAGATTAAGCTCGGTCACTTCTATCGAGCACTTCGACCTCACCGGAAGCGATCCAGCCACCACTCCTGCGTACTTCTCAAGGTAATATTGTATACCAAAAATAATTTCACCAATTTGACTAATAAAGCCACTTTGCTATATATATTGAATTAATCCGTGGTGTTTGCCTTTGATTATTTCGTTTCAAAATTAAACCCTTGGTGCAACGACGAGCGACATTGCCCCAAGGCGTTTTCAGTAAATCTACAAAGCTTAAAAAAAAACTGGACCCTGGCAACATATGCATATGTATTTACATATGTATGCTTATAAATATGGGCACGGCACAGTAACTAAGTAGGTCTGACGGTGGAAGTATATATGCATATAAATATGTACAAGGGAATAATGTATATGCTGACAGCACAGTGACTGGCGCGTGGGAGTTCCAGTGACCGCACTTCCCGCGTTGAGTCCGCTCTCCTGATGTATGTATGTATGTAAGCGTGCTCCTTGCCCTTCTTCTCCTTTTTTATTTACTCCACAAGTCTCCAAATTTTTCTCTATTACTCCTGTATTGCTACATATGTATTTTTCCGGTCGTTCACCTTTCTGGTATGTACTTAGGTGCTGATCACTATGTACTCCTATGGGTTGGTGGGTGACTGGAGAAAGACGTATCTCCGCTTTTTTGGTTTTGATTTCTAAGGCCCTGACGTTACACTTGCCCAGCGGGGACCTGTAAGGCATATCTAGCGTCACTACATTTTCTTGATTTATATATTTTATACTTATACGATCTCTAGACTTGACTCATTTATTATAGTTAGATATATGTTTATATACATATGTATGCATAGATGTATGCCATTTATATTAGGTGTGTATGTATAGTGACGGGCAAAAGTGTAACATGTTGTAACACTTTTAAATTCAGTCATCGCTATCTTTCCAAGTTCTAACGAACTTCATACTTTTGTTGCATATTCTTATTGGTACATCCCTACTCCCTCTCTCATAACGATTTGAAGTCAATACAACAACAATAAAAAAAACCAGCAGACAAAAATGTAAATTAAGACAGATGTTACAGTTTTGCACTCATATATTTTTAAGAACTTTTTAACCATTTTCACGTAAAAAAAAGAACTACTAACACAATGCATACCTTATTTGTATCTCTGTAAAAATTCTGGTGGTATATCCTCCCATATATCCTTAATTTGCTTTCACAGCTCATGTACTCGATTTTACGGACTTTGATACTTATTAAGCTGTTCTTTTAGTTGATTTCGCAAATTGTCGATGAGATTCATGTCCGCGGATTGCGGAGGTCGTTTCAAATTAGCAAATTTTTGCTTTTGTATCCTGGCTTTGCGAACATGTGCAGTGTGTTTTGAGTGATTTTTCAGCAGAAACTATAATTTTTTCGACTACATCTTGTAAATTTTGTTGAAATATGAACAGATACTGTTCCTTACGCATAATGTGTACTAACGGACAAACACAATTTTTTAAATACAACCCCAAACTATTATTGACCGAACACCGTGATTCACAGTTTGTCCTTGATCCAATACGAGGCCGGTCATTTGATTGAAAGCGATTAATTTAGTCTTGTCAGACTAAATAACCTTCAATTGAAACTTAAAAATATGTTTTTTATTGCATTCTGAACGGCCTCACATATCCCAATAGGCAACGGTTCTGTTTTCGTGCGGTGCAGCAAAATGCTGCCACACTCGCACATGTATTTTGATCAAATTTGCTTTTTTCTTCTTTATGATGCCTTTGCGCTCAATTTGGCAATTCTTCACCTCGCTGTCTATTGATTTGCGTTAAAATTTAATACCTTAAGCGCTTCTGTAATAGTGCCTGCATCGCTACTTGCTGCTAAGTTCACAAGATATCGTACCGTTATATTTTTTGACAGACTTCCTTTGTCCTTGGGAACACTTTAGGCAAAATTTGTCTCAGTCTTAACATTTTCAAGTAGCAAATTCCACAATTTTTTACCACTTTTCGTGCGGTCCCGCCTTTCCGCAGTAAATCTATTATTAACATTTATGGTTCCTGAGTAACTATTATTTACTGGTGATCACTTCTTCAATAAATTACAATACAGAAAAAAGTCATCTGACTTCCAACTAAGTAAGAGAAAACTGTCAAATGCAAAACTGAGAGTGAGTGCAAAACTGTAACAACTGCCTTAATTTACATTTTTGTCTGCTGGTTTTTTTATTGTTGTTGTATTGACTTCAAATCGTTATGAGAGAGGGAGTAGGGATGTACCAACAATAATATACAACAAAAGGATGAAAGTCGATAGAACTTGGAAATATAGCGGTGGCTGAAATAAAAATGTTACACCATGTTACAGTTTTGCTCCTCACTGTATGTTCACTGTAGCGCGGTTGGTACATATGTGTATTCGTTTTTATGTGACTTCTAGTTTATTTTAGGTGGTTTAGATACTTTTATCACATTATAGTTTTACTTTAATTTGATTTAATCTTACTTCAGTTTAATTTATAAGAATTTAGTCTCAATTTTATTTTATTTTACTTTAATTTGAATTTATTTAGTTTGAATTTTCGTTTATTTTACATTCTCTTAATTTTTCTAACTCGATTTGTTTAATTTAATTTTATCAAATTTTAGTTTATTTGAATTTATTTTGTGAATACAAACATTTCAAGGGCTACCTTCGCTTGTATACTTGTACTCAGTCGCTTTAATGTATAGACACACACTTTCCAATTTAGTTGGTTTGGATTCTACATCAATTTCTTTAAGTTTATTTAAAATTCCTATGACTCACCTCCTGTGGCATGTAACAGTGTCCCTTTTTTTTCTTAAGATGCTTTTTCCTGATATCTAGTCCAGTTAAATAGCAACGGAAAATTTAACGGAACTTTCTAAAAATATCCATTCCACCGATTTTTTCGTGTCTAAACACTTTAATGGCAGCTTTCTATCTAATTTTTGCCTGAAGATCGCTGGCAATCGTGCCCTAGCTGTTTGCTGAAATTTCTTTCCGCATTTCGCTCATTTACACATACATGCATACTCACAGTGGACTTTCACCAAAGAACGTAGATAACAAGAAGGGACAACTCGTTATAATTGTGGCGAAAGTGCGCAACAGGGGCGTGCTTTCTCTTTTCATACAATCAAAAAACGCACTAGGGCAAAAGAGAAGGCACGCCCCTGTTGCGCACTTTCGCTACAATTATAACGAGTTGTCCCTTCTTGTTATTTACGTTCTTTGCTTTCACTACATTCACATAAACACAACTCAACCCAACATTCATATTGGTTCTTAACACACATGTTGTATACAATGTCTATAAGCATGCCGAGGTACATGTATAGACACATTGTGGCATTGTGTTGGTGTTGCACTCAACCTTTCGGGCTTGCGTTACAACTGGCATGCGTTGAACGCCAACTATTGCATACTCAATCAATACTGCTGCTTTGTATGACTGAGCAGCGCGTTGACTTAGTAGTATCGATACGCAAAGCGCGCTGTCTTGTAAATACAGACACTGCAAGTGAACTATACTTCTGATATTGACTTTGGCAAATTAGTATTTCGAATGCTTATTCACGAAACTAGCAAACGCGCCATTTGAACGGTTGCCGAAACCATGGGAGCTCATTTGGACGAGTGGCGAAGACAAGACGCCGCAGTTCATTTGTTGCAGAAGTCATTTGACTTGTTGCCGAAAGCACGACGAATGTAGTAAAGGGCAATTTATCGTCTCGTATGTATGTATGTATTTATAGCGCGTCTACCATTCAGTTGCTTTATAGCCCCGTCAGAATGAGTACTTTGCGTACGTGACGCTCAAGTATGAAACTGACGTGACGTGAATGAACGTAGAGCGGCGCCACAATGTAAGCGTTAATGTATATAAACAAAAATCAGCTGTAGTTTGTTGGCGGCAAATGTCTCGCTGTGTTGAAAACAAAAATTTTGTGTTGTGATAGTTTAAAATAAAAAAAAACTCATAAAAATGGAAGCTATAGAAGTCATATTGATTATTTTGATGTTGCTGGAAGCCAGAGAGTGTTTTAAGAGGATTTATGGAGTTCGTAGTTGTTGGGTGCGACCTGCTCTGCAAAATCGTGACAACCATGGATTTTTTAGCACGCATTTTGGATTCACTGAGGAATTCAAGCAAGCAATTCGAATGGAAAAGCCTGTGTTCGTCTTGCTCCTTAGTTTAATAAGAGAGCGAATAAGCAAAAATTCTAACCGACCATCTATTCCCCCAGAGTTTCGTTTATACTTAACCCTCAGGTGAATTGCTTGCATTATAGTTAGGTTGGGAGGCTGCCTCCGTAGGTGGATGCGCAGTAGCATTACAGGTATTAAATGAAAATTAAATAAATTTCAATTTTAGCTACTTGGCTCACGGAGGGAGTAAGCCATTTTATTCCTGCGCTTTTAAAATAGGGCTCTCCACCATGAAAGAAATCGTTGGAGAAACGTGCGATGTCTTGTGGGAGATACTTGGTCCTGTTTATTTGTCAGTTCCACTGAAAGATGAATGGAAGCGTATTGCCACGGACTTTTATTTAATGTGGGATTTACCTAATTGTATTGGTGCGATCGATGGTAAACACATCAATATATTTTGCCCATCAAACTCGGGCTCCCTTTTTTACAATTACAAAGGGACGTATTCTATTGTTCTGCTGGCGGTGTGCGATGCCAATTACACTTTTACTGGCATAGATATCGGGGCTTACGGTTCGCAGAGTGATGGCGGCATTTTGTGGAATTCAGGCTTTGGAAAACTCTTATACAATGGAAAACTGGATCTGCCTGAAAACGGTATATTACCAGACACTGATATAAGTTTCCCGCACTACTTTGTAGGTGATAACGCGTTTCCATTGAAGTCATTTTTAATGAGACCATATCCAGTTTTGTATGAATACATAATTTATACTAAGTTATTTCCTCATTAAATGCATACTTATTTTATTAAGGAGCCAACTTGCCTCTGGACAGGCAAATTTTTAACAAGCGGTTGTCCAGAGCACGGCGCGTAATTGAAAATGCCTTTGGAATTTTATCTTGCCGTTGGAGAATACTTTTAAGTCCTTTGCAAATGAGCCCCGCATATGCTGAAAAAATTGTTAAAGCTACTGTTGTCCAGCGGAGTATCTCGACCAGGAGGAAGGCGACGGTTTTAAAAAAGGATTGTGGCGGAGTGATGTTTCAAGTTGATGTTTTACAAAAGGCTCGGAGGGTAGGCTCGAACAATGCATCACAAAATGCCTTCAAATTAAGAGATATATTGAAGAATTTTCTCGTATCCCATCCAGTACAAAGTAGACCCCAATAAAGAAAAAGGTAACCTATATTTTATACCTTTCTGGTAAGCATAATTTAATTATTATCGCATTTTCAGGAAATACTTCCTAAAGAATTTGCCAACGGGATTTCGGAGTTGAATTCGACTTACTTTTAGATACTTTCGTAACTTGCTTTTTACCTACGGAACAATTTTGTGTGGAGGAATATGCTAACACCGTCAGGAAAAAATTGTCCAAATCAAGAAAATTTATTCTCAGCTTCAAATTGCCCTCTATTATATTAGATTTGAATTTTCCTTAATTTTTCGCAAAATTTTAAATTTTGATTAACATGATTTTTTTAAAGATTTTTTTTTAAGTTTTCCAGCATCTTTGAGCTTGCTCTTTGTTATACTAAAGTTTAAGGGGCCATACTTAACTTATACTTAAAATTTCTCTAAAAAATCCGATTAGGAAGCTGCAAATTAGTATCAAAATTTACTGAATTAACCTAAACTACACTTTCATGAAAACTTAGCGGAAAATATTAAAAAAAAAGCTACATCTTTGACCATAGGTGTATGTTACAGCGTCAAATAAAACAACTATTTATTTTATTTACACTTTCAGTTGAATTGCAAGTTTTTTATTTTTTCAAATTAATTCACTTCCAATTTTTTCTCTTTCATGTCAATATATATTGCTGATTTATAATATAGATATTTGTCAAATACATGTTGATCACGTATGGGAATATCCCTATTTTGTTACTAAATACTGAATATACAGTATCGGTCATATTAATAGCACCCCCATTTCAAAGTGACATTGTTTGTCACTTATTTTTAATTATTAATTTTTAAATTTAAATTTTTTTTCTCTGAAGTGCTAGAATTTTTTTGAGTACACAGTTTTATAGCCAATTCAATTTTAGTTAGTGGCTAAAAATTACCGTTTATTTTTTAGAACTTTTGTCGCATTTGCTTCCATATAACGAATAAACACAATTTATTTTTATATGGAAGAAATGCCTTCGGTGAAAAAAATTCTAAAAAATAAACGGCCATTTTTAGCCACTTGAAGCTTTCACATTATCAAACTAAAATTGAATTGGCTATAAAACTGTGTACTCAAAAAAATTCTAACACTTCAGAGAAAAAAATTTTGAATTTCGATGAAAATTTGTTGCATTCTTTTGTAGTCTTTTACGAAGTTTTAAAATTGGGTCTATATGGGTTTTGTTAGAGAATAAACTGTGTTTTAATTTAAAATTCTTAAAAATAAATAATTAAACATAAGTGACAAACAATGTCACTTTGAAATGGGGGTGCTATTAATATGACCGACACTGTATAATAATCAACATATTAAATTATTAATTTCTTTGAAAATAAATAGCATTCAAAATTATTACATTCATTGTTTTTCTAGAAAATATGCACTTATTTCAAAAAAAGAATAAAAATATTATCACATTCATTGTTTTTCTAGTTAATTTAAAAAGCAAACCATACTCAGACTTATGTACATATAACTTGGAATTACCATTCATTTCACCCAGAATAACGGAGAATGCAGTCACCCATAAAAATAAGTATACAGGAATTTTTTGACAATATTTAAGATGTTTTCCATGACAATTATTTTTCGTAAATTTTTCAATTAAATAAAGTTCATACTAAACCGAAAACCATATAAATCAAAACATCTAACTTTTTGCAAAACTTTAGAAAGTTCCCCAAATTTTTGCCCAAATTTAAAATCTTTTTTTGCAAAAAGTTAGTTGTTTTGATTTATATGGTTATTGGTTTAGTATGAACTTTATTTAAATGAAAAATTTACGAAAAATATTTGTCATGGAAAACATCTTAAATATTGTAAAACACCTCCGTATACTTATTTATGTGAATGATTGTGAAATAAAATTTAATCCTAATTTATCACAATAAACAAAACTAAACTAAAATTCATCACAGTAAAACATAACTGAATTCAAATTCAATTTCAAATCTACCACAAAAAGTAAAAATTAAAAAAAAAAAAAAATTACTTAAAAGCTTTGTCCGCCACTGTGCACAAAATTTAAAATATCTATTTTAAACCTATCTTGAAGTTCTTCAGGGTACTTCAATAAATACCCATCCAGAACTTTTAAAAACTCTGCATTTCGGCTTACTGGCTGAGGGGCTTTTTCCGACTTCTGCAGCCAATCACTCACAGCTCCACACAGTGTGTCAAAACGATCTTCATCTCTTTTTCTCTTTGTCTGAGAATGGCATTGGCGTTGGTGATTGGGCAACGAAATCGACCTCGGGTTGCGATGGCTCCTCCTGCTCAAAAATGAGTTGCGAGTCACACACAACGTACTGCTCCGTTTGTGGCGTAAAAGTTTCCACGCTAGCGAAAGAGGTACTATTTGGTTGCGACTCATACATATAGTCTGTTCCAATAGCAGTCCGGTTTACAGGATTTAGTCAGAACTTACAGGAAGTCGTTCCTATTGACATAAAACCTGTAAGTGGGAACACATTTGAGAGAGTAACTGAGTAACTGTTCCTAGTCAGAAGTTACAGGATTTAGTCCGGAGTTTTTTTTCCTGTAAGTTCATGAAAAGTGTCAAACGATCAGCTGATTTACATGTGCAAACAAAAACAGAAAGCGGTGAAAGCAAAGAACCTTATATTTGTTAAAAAATAGAAGTAAACAACGAAATATTTGAATATGTATAGATTTTAATAATTATTTAGTGATATTTCAGCCAAATCAGTGTAGTACCAATGACATGTAAACAAACCGTCTGACGTTTTTACAGGAAATAGTGCTTTTTGCGTTCCTATGCACTTCTGCATCTGTTCTTCTTTTACTCTCATTTGAGAGCGTAAAATTGTAGTTTGACAGTTCCACAGGTTTTAGTCCGAAGTTCAAAGGAACAGACTAATAATGTGCTGCTCCGTTTGTGGCGAAACACTTCCCACGCTGTTGAAAGTGGTATTACCAAAAGTCCTGTCATATGGAAGTATTTAATTAGTTTATGTTTATACATATATTATATCAGATCAATAAGTGCTTACTGTCGAGGTGCAACGTGACGTGCCAAGAATCCCATCGCCTCCATGTATTGCCAACCACCAATGTCCTTCGCAGCACTTCCAGAAGGCGCCTTCCTGCTTTCTTTCACAAAACGGTCTCGAAGAGACCTCCAGCGACTCTGACACTGCTCTACTACAAATTTTTAACAAATTTACAACAATTCATTGCAATTTCTTTAAAACATTCAATTACCGGAGGCACCTGCGGCAGCCGCCACATAATTCCAGGCTTTCTCTTTTGCCAGTTTGTTCCTATAACTGGGAAGACTTTTGTCAAAAAGACAATGGTGCATTTGTATCGCTTGTATAAATGTATATTCCATTTTATTCACTTTTATTTTTTATTCGTACAAAATCACAACTTTCTTTCACTAAATCAAATATTGCGCGCGAGATAAAATCCAAATGACAAGCAGCTGTCATTTGTGTTACGTACGCCAAAAGTTGAGAGTTGGCCAACGTTCGTCGGTTCCGTCAACGCAAGGGTTGCCAATCTGGCGCTCTACATGCAAATACACGTATTTAACTCAACTGTCAGTTTCNCTCACTGCTGGTGCATAGACCATGTTGGCATGCTAGTTGAGAGGAGTGTGCATACGTACGTAGATATGTATGTATGTACATATCAATGCTTCATTTCAATTGAATTTTTTTTGAAATACAGTAACATGGCTTCGGCAACCCATAAAACATGCCTTCAGCAACAAATCAAATGGCTTTCAGCAACAAGTCAAAGGACTTCTGCAACGAATGAACTGCGGCGTCTTCTCTTCGCCAACCATCCAAATGAGCTCTCATGCTTTCGGCAACCGACAAAATGCAGTATCGTGCTTTCGGCAGTCAATCAAATACGGCGGTTGCTGGTTTCGTGCACGTTCACTCGAAATACAGGTTTGCCGAAGTCAATATCAGTATGAGCTGTTATAAGTATCGTTCACTTGCGGTGGCTGTATTTCCAAGCACTGCACGCTATGCGCTGGTGTTCGTTCATCCCCCGTTTTTAATATGAGCAGGCTTAAAGTCACAAAAACAGCATCGTTTGTGTGATCTTCCAAAATTTCCACGATTCGAACATGGTTTAATGAGAAAAAGTGGCAACATTGCTTTTTCGCGTATACAGTGGCTAGTTGCGTTTCAGTGATCGCCGATCGAGATTTCATTTATTATTTTACATTATTTGGTTAAAGTAAAGTTACGCAAATTTAACATCGATGTGATGCTGTATCAATTTGTGATCAACTCTGTTTGTTTTGTTTCCTAATTAAGTGAGGAAATTTTAATTGACAGCACCGACAAATGAATGTATACACAAACAAATGTTCGGTTATGGTTAAAACAATTCAAGTTTTTGTATTGAATTTTCGGTTTAAAATTTATTTTTTCCTTTTCAGTAGGGTTTTTTGCACATTATATTCTGCGTGAGAATTGATCATAATAGATACGAATCTGAATAAGCGACTGGAATACGGCTGTTTATCAAAACCATACGATTTCGAACTCGCGTAAATGTACATTTGCTAAATGCGATAGCATGAACGCTCGTCGAAAACATATGTTCGAAAGTGCGAAATGTTGCATTTTAAATGCAGCAAAAACGCTGCATAACTTTGAACAATTAAAAGGTACACGAACGCAACTAATTGCACGCATACTACGTGTATGCGACAGAATTCGCGAATTCTTCATTTCATGAACTCAAAAATGGTCCCGTTTATGCATAGTTCGCGAATTCATGAAATAAATGGATTTGAAAAAGTGGCAACGCACTGGCGGGAAACTATACAGTAGGGTTGTGATTTTTTTGCCTCCTTTTGAATTTGCAAAAGCCATTGGTGCCAGCAAAGAACGTCAATCTATAAGAGGAGACAACACGTTATAATTGTAGCGAGTGTGAACATCAGGAGCGTGCCTTCTCTTTTCATCCAACCATAAAACGTATCTGGGTAAAAGAGAAAGCACGCTCCTGATGTTCTCACTCGTTACAATTATAACGTGTTGTCTCTTCTTATAGATTTACGTTCTTTGGTGCCAGGCAATGAACCTCATTTTATTAAAATTGGTTTTAATACATTTTCAGTTTATTCTATTTGAATTCATTTTAAATGTGAACAATTCCACATAACTTTTCCAATGTTTAAAATTGTGGTTATGCCACTCATGGTTATTATTCTGAAAACATCATAACCCTAGTAAACAGTTGTTTGTGAAACGTGGCGTTGCCGGACTTGCACTTCACGATTTCATGAAACGATGCCGAATTCATGGTTATATTTCGTGTATAACTGAGTTCATGAAATGGTGTTTATGCAGCCAATTTTAATCTAAATTCATGAAATGAATTCGTGAATTAGCCTACGCATAAACGTAGTAGCAGTTTGCCAACCAACATTTTTGCATACGCCGACACAAGGCATAACAAGGTAGAAGTGATTTCGACATTTCTCTCTTTTGAACTGCGACTGAAATGTCAACTCTTAACCCTATACTATTCAAATTTTTTTTTTATACAAATTTTCAATTGTGAGCTATGCGACTGATTTTAAATACATAATAAAATGAAAAGGAATTGCGAGCGGTGCGTTGTGTTTGTCAAGAGCCTGGACAACAAACTTGTGCGTTATTTTAAACCTTCGAATTGTCAAGTGAAGCGACAACGGTGGGCAAATTGCTGCGATGTTTCATTAGGAGACTCTTCATGTGTGGTCGTGACTTTATTTGTTGCCTATCGCAGCCGAGTATTTCTAAGTGGACGCGTTTGGTCCCAGGT